ATAATAATAATAATAATAATAATAATAATAATAATAATAATAATAATAATAATAATAATAATAATAATAATAATAATAATAATAATAATAATAATAATAATAATAATAATAATAATAATAATAATAATAATAATAATAATAATAATAATAATAATAATAATAATAATAATAATAATAATAATAATAATAATAATAATAATAATAATAATAATAATAATAATAATAATAATAATAATAATAATAATAATAATAATAATAATAATAATGATAATAATAATGATAATAATAATAATAATAACAATAATAATAATGTTGGTTGTATTGAATTGAATCATTCAACAGCAGGCTGTTTTTACTTCCACTATATTTTTTTTTTTTACATCTGTTGCCTGTTACTATTTTTATGTTATCAGTATTGCAGCGTTATCAACACATTTTTTTTCTTTTTTTTTTTTGCAACGAACAAATAATGCATAAAGTATGAAATACTATTCAGTCCTTTTGATTATTTCATTTAATTTTTTTCAAATTATCAGTCCTTAAAATTAATTTTCATTTGAACAATTAAAATTTTCGCCATTTTTTGATGAAATAAAGAAGCAATATTACAAATATTACAATGGCACATTACTATAAATCTTTTTTTTTTTTTTTTTAGCTTCTCTTTTTCTCTCTCAATTAACCTTTTCTTTCTTCGTCTTTCTCTTCAGTCTATTAAAAGAGAAATTTCGTATGATGATTGTTGTTTCGAATATTTCTATATTTGATCGTACAAACTATTAGCTAAGTTAAATTTGAAATGTAAAAATTAGCCCTTTTTCCAAATTTAATTTGATATGATAACAAAGATGATAAGCGTACTTTTTTTTTTTTTTTTTGGAATTAAACCTGAAGTCATCAGTTTTGCTTACATTTTCTTCCTAAATTTGCAATAAGATAATTGAAAAAAATGACCTTAAAGATGTAAAACGATGGGAAAGAAAAGAATCTTGATAAGGGATAATTTGAAAACGTTTTATAAATCAATTTTTCTAAAATTTACACTTTTTCGATTTGTAAATAATCAAATCAACAAATGAACTATTCCCAAATAGATCGAAATTAGAAATTTCTCATCAAAACGTAATTGTATTAGTATGGTACCATTTGTATTCATTTATCAGTTAATAGAAATAATAAAATATTGAATATCAATTTTGAATCTCAAATTAATTAACAGGTAACTGTAATTTTTGCGGCAATGTATTATAAAATATTTTAAATAAAAGAAATATCAGGCAGGTTAAACATAAATCTCATTTGCAATTTTTATACAGTTTTGTTTTTCCCTCTTCTATTATTTAATACCCACTCATTTCCTCTTCATGTTTTAATTTTCTCTTTGTTTTAATTAAGTTTACTCATTTATTAATTAGTTTCTCTATTCTCAACTATAATTATGATTCACTCTTTTAACTTTTCAAATTGTCAAATCATATTGCTAGGCAATCGAAGGAGGATGAATAAATTTGCGTCAAAATGTTTTTAGAAATGAAAGATGAAAAAAAAATTTTATAAGTAAAAGACTTGCCCATCACTTTATTATATGATTTGATTTGAAAATGTATCGCCATGATTAATTTCTTTTTTTCTTTAAAAAAAGAATGAAATGATAGAAATAACCGATTTTTCGTTTTTTTTCTTTATTCTTTCATTCATTCAAAATTTATTACTAAAAATATTGCTAATGATGATCATTTGTTTAATAATAATGATGATGATAACAATAACAATAATAATAATAATAATAATAATAATAGTAGTAATAATAATAATAATAATAATAATAATAATAATAATAATAATAATAATAATAATAATAATAATAATAATAATAATAATAATAATAATAATAATAATAATAATAA